AATAAGCAATGGAGACGGAGCTTGTAGCAGATAAGTTCTATAAAATTCTGTTTGTTAAAGGTTATTTATTTAATGGACTCTTTAAAGAGCAAGAACAAAGAGAAACATCAAATTAACTGATTTGAAAACAAAATTACAAAGAATATTTATTTCTTGTTATCTCATCTGATATGTCTCAAATCTGGGTTTCACATAACTTTTTAGAGTCATCATTTCCTTTACTATAAATTGTGCTTGCCAACATTTCTATTAAAATTTTTTCTTAGGAACTGAAAGATCATCTGTTCTTGTAAAACAGAGACAGGGCTCTTGGACCCCACCTGGGCCATCTTGTTAATTAATAGGGAAGTAAGGGCAGGCTTCGTCTCCACCTTAAAATCAAACAAAGACAAGACGAGGCAGAATGAGATTGTCCTAGGAAGCAGCAGCAACCTGGCCTGATGGCGATCAGTATTCATTTTTCACCAACTGCCAAAGGGATTTTCTTCTTACTTGAGGTGAGGATCTCTGTGTCACATTAGCATGAAAAGATATAACAAGGCTAGGAATTTCCTCCTGGGAGGAACTGGCTATGGTTGTGGTGTCAAGTAGTGAAGTGAAGTGACTCAGTCGTGTCCGACTCTTTGCGACCCCATGGACTGTAGCCCCCCAGGCCCCTCCGTCCATGGAATTTTCTAGGCAAGAGTACTGAAGTGGGTTGCCATTTCCTTCTCCAGGGGATCTTCCCAACCCAGGGATCGAACCCGGGTCTCCCGCATTGTGGGCAGATGCTTTACCGTCTGAGCCACCAGGGAATCAGAGTATGATGCAAAAGCCACAGGAGCCACGCATCGGTCAGTGAAATGTGCCTGTCCCACCAGCCACTTGGCCTAACCTACATCTGTCTTCTCCTGAACTCTTCTATGGCCTTCAACAGAGTCCAAGATACCAGTTTAAAGAATAAAAGTGGCCCCTCTTGCCACTTCTGTTTAACATAGTATTGGAAGTCCAAGCCACAGCCATCAGACAAGGAAAAGAAATAAAAGGCATCCAAATTAGACAGGAATAAGTAAAACCACCACTATTTGCAGAGGACATGATATTTTCTATAGAAGACCCTAAAGTCTCCACCAAAATAGTATTAGAACTAATCAATGAATTCAGTCAAGTAGCAGGATGCAAGAATAATATACAAAAATCAGTTGCTTTTCTATATAATAATAATGAACTATCAGAAAAAAGTAAAAAATAATTCCATTTAAAACCCCACTCAAAAAAAAATACCTGGAGTAACTTAACCAAGGAGGTGAAAAATCTATACTCTGAAAACTATAAAAGACTGATGAAGAAAACTGAAAATAATAGAAAGAAATAGAAAGATATCCCATGCTCTTGGACTGGAAGAATTAATATTATTAAAATGGCCATACTACCCAAAGCAATCTACAGATTTAATGCAATCCCTATTAAAATACCCATGACACTTTCCACAGAACTAGAACAAATAATCCTAAAATTTGTATGGAACCACACAAGACCTGGGATTGCTAAAGCAATCTTGAGAATAAAGAACAAAGTTGGAGATATCACCTTCCCAGTCCTTAGACTACAGTAATCCAAGCAGTGTGGTACTGATACAGAATTAGGCACATAGAGCCCAGAAATAAACTGACACACCTCTGGTCAATTAGTCTATGACAAAAGAGACAAGAATACCCAATGGAGAAAAGACAGTCTCTTGGATAAGTGGTGCTGGGAAAACTCAACAGCTACATGTAAAAAAATGAGATTAAGACTTCCCTGGAGGTTCACTGGTAGAGAAACTGCCTGCCAATGCAGGCGACACGGGTTCAATCCCTAGTCTGGGAAGATTCTACACGCTGCAGAGCAACTAAGCCCATGCACCACAACTATGGAGTCCGAGTTCTAGAGCACGCAAACTGCAACTACAGAAGCCCACGTGCTCTAGAGCCCATGCTCTGCGACAAGAGAAGCCACTGCAAAGAGCAGCCTGTAGGCCACAACTAGAGAGTAGCCCCCAGTCACCACAACTAGAGAAAGCCCAGGGGCAGCAACAAAGACCCAGTGCAAGCAAAAATAAATAAAACATTTTCTTTTAAAACAGCCAATGCAAAAAAATGAGATTAGAACACTTTCTCATGCCATATACAAAAATAAACTCAAAATGGATTAAAGACCTAAATATAAGACGTGAAATCATAAGGCTCATAGGCAAAACACTCTTTGACATGTTGGAGCAATATTTTCTTGGATCTATCTGCTAAGGCAGAAGAAATAAAAGCAAAAATAAACAAACAGGGTGTAATTAAACTTAAAATTTTGCCCTTGAAAAAACAAAAAGATAACCTATGAGGACTCTCAGTGGTTAGGAATCCATGCTTCCAATGCAGGGGCCACAAGTTAGATCCCTGGTCAGGGAACTAAGATCCCACATGCCATGCAGTAGAGAAGAAGGGGGAAAAAAAGACAACTTACGGAATGGGAGAAAATTTTTGCAATGTGACCAATAAGGGGGTGTATGTATCCAACATACAAAAACAGCTCATACAACTCAGCATTAAATAAAACAAATAACCCAACTAAAAAACAGGCAGATGACCTGAATAGACATTTTTCCAAAAAGGGAAATGCAGATGGCCAAGAGGCACATAAAAAGCTGCTCAGCATCACTATCAGAGAAATGCAAATCAAAATCACAATGAGATATCACCTCACATCTGCCAAATGGATATCATCACAAAGTCTACAAACAACAAATGTTGGCGAGGATGTGGAGAAAGGGGAATCCTTCAACACTATTTGTGGGAATGTAAACTGATGCAGCCACTGTGGAAAATAATATGGAGGGTCCTCAGAAAACTAAAAATAGAACTACCATATTATCCAGCAGTTCCACTTGAGTATATATCTAGAAAAAAACACACATTCAAATTGTTTCGTTGCTAAGTCATGTCCGACTATTTATGACCCCACGGACTGTAGCCCATCAAGCTCCTCAGTCCATGGGATTTCCCAGGCAAGAATACTGGAGTGGGTTGCCATTTCCTCCTCCAAGGGATCTTCCTGACCCAGGAATATAACAAGTGTCTCCTGCATTGGCAGGCAGATATGTATACACACACAATAGAATATTACTCAGGCATAAAAAGAAAGAAATTCTGCCATTTGAAGCAATGTGGGTGGACTTGGAGAATATTATGCTTAGTGAAATCAGTCAGACAGAGAAAGACAAATACTGAATGATACCACTCATATGTGGAATGCAAAAAATAAACGAATGTATATAGCACAACAGAAATAGACTCATGGATATAGAAAACAAACTAGTGATTACAAGTTTGGAATGGGAAGAGATGGGCAAAACTGGGATATGGGACTAAAAGGTATGAAGCGCGATGTATAAAATAGATAAGCATCTAGGATATATTGTACAGCACAAGGAACCATAACCATTATCTTATACTAACTTTGGAGTATAGTCTGTAAAAATACTGAATCACTATGCTGTATACTTGAAACTAATATAACACTGTAGACCAACTATATTAAGGAAAAGAATAAAAGCGGCCCTGAGAGTCATCATCCAGTGAAAAATTCTGGGGGGTCAGTGTTTTTGTCCTGTTCTCTCTAGTCAACGAAACTGAACCTCCTACTAGAGAGGTGAATTACACAAGCTCACCTGTGGAGGGGAAATGACCGGACAAGTCCTCATATTCTAGTCTTCAGACTCCCACGCTAGTACTGTTTCCATTAGCCACAAATAAGCCCAGAAAATAGCCCCATCGGCACTGTTGTTGACGAAATGTAAGCACATGTGTTCACGTGTATATTCAGGTTGCTCAGTCTCTACATTTGGGCCCTTGGCATGTGTTCACGTGTATATTCAGGTTGCTCAATCTCTACATTTGGGCCCTTGGGACCTGACGATGCTGCTGTGAGGGACTGTCCAGTGTATTATAGGATGTTTAACAGCATCCCTGGCTTCTAACCCCTAGATGTCAGCTGCATCCTTCCTCTAAGCTGTGAAAACTGAAAGTGGAGCCAGGCATTGCTAAATTCTGGAGATTTAAACCTGAAGCTGCGGGAACCATCCTTGGTTGAGAACTACGTATCTATGTGTACGTGCATATGCATGATATGAATTATTTTATAAATAACTATTCATGAAGCATTCCCTCAATCCATCAATAAAAGAAAACAAAGGAGGAGTTCTGCAGATACTGAAATCTGTCAAGGCAATCTAGCTTTTATATGTAAGTTTTAGGCACAGCAGCCAACGCTCTTTTTATGTCAGGTTTACTCTATTTGTGTAGAATCACAGCTTTTCACTTCACCTCAAATTACCTTTCTGTATATGCTAACGCACATTAAAAAGTGCCTTTATAGAAAATAGAAAACATTCAGAAATAGGCTTTACAGATCAAAGGCTTTCAAATATATGTTTCCCATTTTTACCAGAATCAGGATCTGTGTTTGTAAAAACATCAGACAACTAGGCCTGCACTGGCTTCAGCATTATAGTGGTGAACCTTAATAGAGAATGCCAGGTGGATAAAAATGAGTTAACATTGGTATAATAACTGATTCTGGGTTTGCATAAGGTCAAAGGATGTGTTTAACAGATTGCTAAACCATTTAACTGGTTATTTTGAAATCATATTGAGATAGACATGGTTTTTCTTCTAATTTTTTAAGTTGACTTTTTTGAAACTTCTTTTTAACTGGTTGTGCTGAAGCCACGTAGACTGTTGAGATGCATGTGGCTTTCCCCTTTAATGCTCCAAGTCAATCTTCTTTTTAATAAACGTATTAGTTGACATGTAAACTGTCCTATTGAACACATCTTTCAAACCGGACCCCAATGCCAGCCAATGACCCAGAAGCTGTAGCTTCCTTCCTGGGTCTGTGGTGGGGCTGAGATGAATCTGCAGCTTGTAACTCTGGCAGAGCTTTTGTTTGACTGGCAACATCCCCCACGGAATGGCAAAATGGGGCCTTACCTTTGGGAATGGTGATCTGACAACTCAGGTCACAGTCCTGCTGCAGCTGATAAAAAGCCACTTCCTGTAGGCGGGCTCGCTCCAACTCTGAGAGGCTCTGGATGGGCACTGACCTCAACCGCACGCTGCGGCCCGACATACTGTTCCAGGTGAAATCACCCTGCAGACCAAAGGGGAAAACATCAACGGTCACACAGTGATCTGCAACTCACAAACCTCAGCCTCTTCCTCAATTGGTCATAATGTCAAGCAAACTTCATTTTTGTGTTTAAAAATCAGTTCTCAGTCCCTAAAATCCAAGCCACTCTTGGTTAACTGTGGATTTTCTCAGCCAATTGCAAACATCCCAGTCTGGAGAATCTTCTAGGTCACCCGATCTCATAAATGACACAAAGAAAACCATGTGGAAAGATACTTCAAGATACTGCTTCCTCTCTTTTATGGAAACACATGCAAACTTTTTCATTTTTATTTCTCAGTAACAGAAAACACTACTGCTAATTGCCATCAAGCAAAGGCTAACAGAGTTTTGCCAAGAGAATGCACTGGTAATATCAAACAGCCTCGTACAACAACACAAGAGACAACTCTACACATGGACATCACCAGATGGTCAATACCGAAATCAGATGGATTATATTATTTGCAGTCAAAAGATGGGAAAGCTCTAGACAGTCAGCAAAAATAAGACCGGGAGCTGACTGTGACTCAGATCATGAACTCCTTATTACAAAATTCAGACTTAAATTGAAGAAAGTAGGGAAAACCACTAGACCATTCAGGTATGACCTAAATCAAATCCCTTATGATTATATAGTAGAAGTGACAAATAGATTCAAGGGATTAGATCTGATAGACTGAGTGCCTGATGAACTATGGATGGAGGTTCATGACATTGCACAGGAAACAGGGATCAAGACCATCCCCAAGAAAAAGAAATGTAAAATGGTTGTCTGAGGAGGACTTACATATAGCTTAGAAAAGAAGAGAAGCGAAGGCAAAGGAGAAAAGGAAAGATATACCCATTTGAATGCAGAGTTCCAAAAAATAGCAAGGAGAGATAAGAAAGCCTTCCTCATAGAGGAAAACGACAGAATGGGAAAGACTAGAGATCTATTCAAGAAAATTAGAGATACCAAGGGAACATCTCATGCAAAGATGGACACAATAAAGGACAGAAAAGATATGGACCTAAACAAAGGAGAAGATATTAAGCAGAGGTGGCAAGAATGCACAGAAGAACCATACAAAAAAGATCTTCATGACCTAGATAACCACGATGGTGTGATCACTCACCTAGAGCCAGACATCCTGGAATGCAAAGTCAAGAGATGGAAATACCAGGCCACCTGACCTGCCTCCTGAGAAATCTGTACACAGGTCAAGAAGCAGCAGTTAGAACTGGATATGGAACAACAGACTGGTTCCAAATCAGGAAAGGAGTACATCAAGGCTGTATATTGTCACCTTGCTTATTTAACTTATATTCAGTGTACATCATGTGAAATGCTGGGCTGGATGAAGCACAAGCTGGAATCAAGATTGCTGGGAGAAATATCAATAACCTCAGAGATGCAGATGACACCACCCTTATGGAAGAAAGTGAAGAACTAAACAGCCTCTTGAGGAAAGTGAAAGAGGAGAGTGAAAATGTTGACTTAAAACTCAACATTCAAAAAACTAAGATCATGGCATCTGGTCCCATCATTTCATGGCAAATAGATGGAGAAACAATGGAAACAGTGACAGACTTTATTTTGGGGGGCTCCAAAATCACTGCAGATGGTGACTGCAGCCATGAAATTAAAAGATGCTTACTCTTTGGAAGAAAAGCCATGTCCAACCTAGATAGTATATTCAAAAGCAGAGACATCACTTTGCCAACAAAGGTCTGTCTAGTCAAAGCTATGGTTTTTCCAGTAGTCATGTATGGATGTGAGAGTTGGACTGTAAAGAAAGCTGAGCACCAAAGACTTGATGCTTTTGTACTGTGGTGTTGGAGAAGACTCTTGAGAGTCCCTTGGACAGCAAGGAGATCCAACCAGTCCATCCTAAAGGAGATCAGTCCTGGGTATTCATTGGAAGGACTGATGCTGAGGCTGAAATTACAATACTTTGGCCACCTGATGTGAAGAACTAACTCATTGGAAAAGACCCTGGTGCTGGGAAAGATTGAAGGCAGGAGGAGAAAGGGATGACAGAGGATGAGATGGTTGTATAGCATCACTGACACAATGGACATGAGTTTGAGCAAGCTCCAGTTGGTGATGAACAGGGAAGTCTGGTGTGCATGGGGTCACAAAGAGTCAGACACAACTGAGTGACTGAACTGAATTGCCATGATGCACACTAGACATGGGAATAGAAACATATGTTGATAGCCTCCTGTGTACCAGTGATGGCGTCAAGGGATTTTTAGTCACTCCTTCAAACAACCTTAAGAGGCAGTTAGCGTTTCTGACCTTATCTTATATAATATTTAATAACAACTATATAATAATACAATCTAGTATATTTATAATATATGACACAATGTATTATTATTATATATAATATTTACTTATGATACATTATCACAATGTTTACTTAGGATACATTATGTTGATATTACAGTAATATATAGTATGTATAAATATAATATGGCTTCCCAGGTGGCTCATTGGGTAAACAATCCACCTGCAATGCAGGAGATGTGGGTTAGATCACTGCGTCGGGAAGATCTCCTGGAAGAGGGCATGGCAACCCTCTCCAGTATTCTGGCCTGGAGAATCCTCATGGACAGAGGAGACTGGCGGGCTATAGTCCATGGGATCACAAAGAGTCGGACATGACTGAAGTGACTGAGCAAACGCAGCACACAAATATAATATAGATTAATTGAGGCTTAAGAAGGTTAAGTAATTTCCCCCAAATTGTAAAACTTACAAGACTTGAAATCAACCAGGACTTAAGCTAAAAAGGCTTAGGCTTTTAAATTCTATGCTAAATTGTAACCACTGAGTTTCTATTTTATAGCAGTCTAATGAGTTATTTTCATCATTGTAAGTATACAGATATGATCGATAAAAAGTACATATACATATAGATATGTGATGTGAAAATACTCCACATCAAAGACTCAAAGCAGAGATTCCCACAATCCTGGGTTTGTTTGTGTGCACACATACACACCGCTGATTCCACTGAGAGTGAATATCTCTACCCTTGACACAGACAGTGAGAAAGTGATGACATAAGAAACAACACCTCGCAGTCCTCTGAAACCTAATGTCCCCTCACAGAGAAGGAATTCCTAGGAATCACAGATATCAGCCAGGGTACAACAGCTTTGATGAGGTAGCTATTGTTTCCTCAACAATCAAGAAAAGTTCTGCGAAGAGGAACAGTGTTGGGCCCCACAGACACGGCCAGGGATTTGCTGTGGATGCGGGAAACATTAAGGAATCCCCAAAGAGTTCATCACCGTCATTAATTATTCACCTGAAAGAAGAGAGACAGAAAGACTGGCCCCAGAGACTATTAAGACACCTTTCTTCCGTACTGGTAGCAAATTCCTGCCTAAATGGTTTGTTCCAAAGAGTAAATGGAAGTATGTTAATGCTTGGATTTTTTTTCCCCTCTTTATCTGGGATTTCACTGATTTATTTATTCATTGTTTTAGCAAATGGAGATATCATACTCTGGTGTGCATCCTCAGTTGCTCAGTCATGTCCGACTCTTTGTGACCCCATGGACTGTAGCCCGCCAGGCTCCTCTGTCCCTGAGATTTTCCAGACAAGAATACTGGAGTGGGTTGTCATTTCCTTCTCCAGGAGATCTTCTCTACCCAGGGATCAAACCCGTGTCTCTTCCTTGGCCAGTGGATTCTTTACCACCGCACCACTTTGGCAGGAGTAGAAAATAAACCAGGGTAAGCAAAGAATATAGTATGTTGAATAACAACAGCTAAAGATGGGGGAAGAAAGCAGGGAAGGGGTCGGCAGTGTTAGCAGAGGACAAAGATTTACAGTGTTAGATTGGGGGGGGGGGAGCCACTGGGAAAGACCTCACAGGGAAGGCTATGTTTCATTAAACATGCACACACCAGTGCATCCCAGATGGGAAGTTCCAGATGAGTTGGTGATTTCTTTCTTTCTTTTTTTTTTTTTTGCTTTACCACAAAGCATGTGGGATCTTAGTTCCCCGACCAGGGATTGAACTCAGGTCCCCTGCATTGGAACTCTGGAGTCTTTACCACTGGACTGCCAGGGAACTCACTGGTGATTTTTAAATATGAAATTTAGGTATCAAATGGAGCCCACTGCTACCTGAAGTGTCAAAATGGAATTACATACCTATTCTTTAAAAGCATTTAAAATATATGCCCTCCAATGGCTGTGTTATCTGTAGCAGGGGTTGGCTATCTTTTTCTGTAAAAGGCCAGAAAGTAAATATTTCAGGCTTTGTGGGCCACGTGGTCTCTGTCAAAACTACTCAGATCTGCCTTTGTGGCATGAAAGCAACCATAGTTTATAAGTGAATGGGTATGGCTGTGTGCCAATCAAACTTCATTTACAAGAGAAGGTGGAAGGCTGGATTTGGACAGTGGGCCACAATTTGCCAACCTATGTATAATAGCTTATGACTCAAGTAAAATAAACCAATCCCTACAAGATACATTTTATTTTTTTATTTACTATGTCCTCCAGGGCTTCCCTGGTGGCTCAGTGGTAAAGAATCTGTGTATAAAGCAGGAAACATAGGTCCGATCCCTGGGTTGCGAGGATCTCCTGAAGAAGGAACTGGCAACCCACTCTAGGATTCTTGACTGGAAAATTTCATGGACAGAGGAACCTAGTAGGCTATAGTTTATGGGGTTCATGGGGGTTGCAAAGGGTCGGACATGACTGAATGAGTAAACAACAACAAATGTCCTGCTGCATAATTAATTTGAACAAAATGCAATGAATACCTATTACATGCTAAAAACAGTACTAGGCTTGAGATTATCAAAATGACAACAGTCCTTGTCCTTAAGGAGTTGAATTTTGGTACGAAGAACACACTCAATCCATGAAATCCAGAGACTGTAATATAAGAAGTAAGAGCCAAATGCAATGGGATGCCTAGAATAAAAGCCTTTGATATCAATCTGGGGATGAAGGCAGGCTTTATAAGAAG